TAGCAGCACATACAGGTCTCTGCGCCCACCTAAAGAATATACAGAATACTACCTCTAGCATAGATATCCCTTTCCTGTATGATAGACAGGAATCAAGTGTTTACTTCTATCCACACGTAAAGACGTCTAGAGCAAAGCAGGACTCATTAGTGAATAAAATAGAGCTCCACTAATTTTCAGTCCAGTTTACATGACTACATGTCCAGTTCAAACGCTCTTTCCGGTGCTGGCAGGTAAGCGGGATGTATAGTGTCTGTTGCCTATACAGACTTCTTTCATCGGTACCGTAGTATCAGCGTACTTTCACGGCTGATAGTGTCCTCGCTGTAGCAGAAATTAAGTGTGAACCTGAGCTGAGATGGAGTTGCAGTACTGCTGCTACGTATAAAGTCGCAAATACGGTCATCTGCAGAAGTCATAATTTTGGTAAGTATTCTAGAGGCTGCATCAGGAGTTAGAAACCCGCTTACCATGGAACAGTCAACATTTAACTATCTTGCAACGTCCAACTGTGGTTGACCTGCTTCTAAAATCACCCTTTGGATCTATAATGTCATTCTGGTGGCTTATTTTTACACTTTCGCTACCTCGAACTTCTTAATATGCCGTCTTTCATTGAATAGCGACTCCCCCCTAAAAGAATTAGCAGTTTTAAAACGTGAAAGTTAAAAACAAATTTTTGATAATTTTGTTAAAATAGTAAATATCTTTAAAATATAAGTAGTAAATGCAGTTAATACAAAAAAGTATTGTCTTAATTTTTCAAGCATTTATTTTAAAAATGTAATTTTTATAGCAAAATTTTATTTTAATTTACTTAGATAATTTAGGCTAAAAAGCGAGAACACCCAAATTGGACATTTTGCTTATCTTAATTATTTGTTATTTTGAATTCAGTCAAACTTTTTTCAACACTAGCAAGGTTTGGTTTGGTTTATGTGACTATATTTGGTTCATGTGCAAAGTACTTTAGTGCTATCTGTCTAAGGGAGATAACGCCTTCGCGGAGGACTTTCCAAGGAAAACAGATTATTCATGTTTCCTACGGGAAAAATCCCCGCTGCAGGCCCGCTTGGCAGGATTGAACCAGGATCAAACTCATAGCATTCAGGGGTGTCTTAACCAATAAGCCACTGATGGGACCACTGGTAGTGTTAAAAATATTTTTAATGAAATTTCCAACTTAGAATGCGATTGAAGTGACAACATTTCGTGAATTATCTGTAAAAGACGCTTTAACTGTTTTAGTAAGTAAGTGATATTTTTACAAAACATTAAAATTTAAAGAACTCATCGGATTATGCAAGTGAAATAAAAAGAGAGTTCACTTCAGTGGTATTGATACTGAAGAACTAGACAATGAACTGTTGAAGTTTATTTTAACGGCAAAAAAGAAAAATTTGAGAAGCCAGAAAGATATGTACAAGTAAATAAAAAATAGCAATATTGCATCTTCTGTTCCGAACAACGAAATGTTTTAAGAGTTTACTTAACTATTCCTGTAAACAAGAAATAGGAATGACTTCTTTTGTTGTTGTTTTGTCCATGTAATTAATGGAAGAATGGATGCCAGAGCCTCTAGGGGGTTGGACCTTCTACTTCCACCCCAATTTTGAGGAAGTGCCCCACTCCTCTGCCCTACCACCAATCCATACGAGAGGACTTTCGGCTCGCCATATATTTAGAGAGTCCCCATGCCACAAAGACACTATACATTTACAAGCATCCATGCCTTCTCCGGGATTCGAACATGGCCCTTTCGGTACCGTAGTAGGCTCCTGTAACCACTAAACCGTTTGGCCAGCGAAAAACGTTTTTTTGTGTTTTGAAACAAATTTAAATTTATTTAAGAAATCCCATTGGATAGGAAAGACTGGGGTCTTTGACAACGATTTCGGAAAATAAATATAGAAAGAACTGATTGCGAAGAAATTATTCTTACGTATTTTGTGCATATGTAAATAATTTTAGTGAAATTATATATTTTTTTCATATAATTTAATATGATAATCTAAAGAAGCGAAGCCTTGCTAACCTTGCTTTGACTATTTATCGTTAAGTATGCCCTGAGAAGTTGGTTATTTTAAAGTCGAAGGCGAAAAATCGCCGCGCCATTAAGGCGAAGCTTGGACAAGTACTTGAAGTATACTCATGTCCATAAATTAAGGATAATTCGGAGTCACGCGGAAATCAAACTCTAAAATAAATATATCCCCTGTAAAATCACTACACATATCTTCAAGAATCATATGCAAATTTCAGGAAGTAACCAGATGACACCGATGGTACGTCACAATGACGAGAGTGTAAGAGAGTGATATATAAGGAATACAGGCAAAGAAGTAAAATTGTTCGCAGGCGCTTTATAAGAATTTCAGTGCAATAACCGAATAGTTATGACACAAAGGACGCTTTTGGATGATTTTTTTACGTGGTAGAATTATCGACCGTCTGGAATGTGGGCGTACCCAACTGGAAGTATCAGACGAACTTGGAATTGCCCAAAGTGTCATCTCCAGGCTTTGGCAACGATTCCAAGATGATGGTAATGTGAGTAGACGTTACAGCACAGGTCGCTCCAGAGTTACAACCCCGAATGAGGACCGGTATTTGGCAGTTACTGCAAAAGAAACAGGCGGAGCACAGCCTCAGACCTGTCTCGTCAGCTCTCTTCAGCCAGTGGTACGACAATTTCAAGGCAGACCGTATACAGACGCTTAAGACAGATTGGTCTATATGCTCGTAGACTTGTCAGATGCGTTCCACTTACTGCAACTCACTGTCGCTTGCGGTTAGCCTGGAGTAGAGAGCATGCATTGTGGACACCGCAACAGTGGGCTTGTGTGATGCTTTCCGACGAGTCCAGGTTTAGCTTGCAGGTCTGATTCTCGCCGGACTTTCATATGGAGAGCTCCGGGTACCCGTTACCACGAAGAAAACATCATTGAACAACACCGTTACCGTGTTGCAGGAGTGCTCGTTTGGGGTGCAATTATTCTGTGTTCCAGAACTGACCTGCATGTTCAAATTGGAACCATGACAAGCCAAATCTGTCGGGACGTCATTCTGGAACAACATATACGTTTATTTCGAGGCGCCATGGGCGCACAATTTGCGTTTATGGATGACAACGCCCGTCCTCACCGTGCAAACATCGTAAGCGAATGCCTTCAATCGGAGGATATGACCCGTATGGACTGGCCAGCATTCTCACCGGACTTGAATCCAGTAGAGCACGTGTGGGACATGCTTGGCCGACGAGTTGCAGCCCGTCAACCACCTCCTACATGTCTACCGGAACTTCGGAGAGCATTGTTTTTGAGTGATGTAATATCCCCCAAGATCAGATCGATAATTTGATACTCAGCATGCCTAGGCGTTGTACGGACCGTATTGCATCGTCTGGAGGACATTCGATGTATTAACAATCATACCAACCATGTAATATTGGTTTTTGTAAATAGGTTTTTTTTTTTTTTTTTTTTTTTTTTTTTTTTTTTTTTTTTTTGTAATTTGCTCCAGGGAGAAAAAATCGCTAATTTTTTAATAATATCAAACATTGTAACATCTTGTTTTCCTCTTTACCTTTTGTTTAATAAATAAGCTTTACAAATAAGTCAAATTTGTTTTGCTTCTAACTCTTCCTTTGTCTGATTTTGCATTATCCTTAATTTATGGTCATGAGTGTACATGAGTTGGGAGCTTATGATTTCATCTGTGAAAAACGTTCGAGCCGTGAATTTCCTCACTAGCGTTGAAGAAAGTTGAAGTGTTGAAACGTGAAGTTCAGAAATGCCCTAATATACGATTTAGCTGGTCTTTCAGGTGGAACACAGGCTTAGTCTTCATTTTCTGAAAATTTCATCAGTGATATTGCAGCATGAAACTTCTCGGCTTCTCGTAATGATTCCAAGTTCCGCTGTGAGCCGCGAATAGCTGGCTGCAATGCCAACTGTATCCCTGCTGTTATAATTTAGGTCTCATAGTGGACTTAGAATCATCTATAATTGACTGAACTATTGCGAGGAGCAACGTTGGAATTAAAGCCCAAGGGCGCATAACATAAAGAATTCCGGACGTGGAAGAAAATCTCAGAAGAGAAAACTGAGAAAAGGTCTCGTAGTGGGAGGGTGGTGCCTCCTTTTGTTCTTATCTCCATGAGTAACTATGATGTTACAAACTATGACATCACGTGACCTCTGACATAGTGTGCTACTTTTTGTCACTTTTCATTTCTTTTCTTACTGTTTTAATGAAAAATATCCGAATCCTCAGTTGTTACCGATTCACATTCCACGAAAACCTCCAAATCATTAATTATTTTTTTAAAAAGTAATAAGTGTCATGTCCGGTTCAAAGGTCGCAAAATGTTCAAATGAGATAGGGTCTGGCATTTCCACTGCTTATATTTCCTTGTAATTGCAACTTCAATCGTAGCTAAACTTATTTCGATTAAGGGGAAACTATGAATTGAACACTATCATTTCTCCTGCTAATTGAAATTACAAATACTGCTCATAAACTTCAGGGCCCACCAGCGGTCGAGCGGTAAAGTCGCTGAACACTGGTAGTTCGGTCCGAGGTTCGAATCCCGCGAACGGGCTGGCTGCATGGGTGTTTTCGCGGTTTTCCCCATGTGTAACGTGTATACGAGCCAGTTTTCCTTAGAAAGTCCTCCACGAAGGCATCCCTCCCCTTAAGCAGATAGCCCTAGTGTGCTTTGCCGTAATTAAATACATCACACCACACCACCTCATAAATTTCAAGTCTCTTCTCTACAAATGAAAACGCAAATCCTCCACGGAACTCCAACAGCTTCATAGTATAATAATAAATGAACAAAAATCAGAGGGAGGTAATTACTTCCATATCCTTCTAATAAATTTTACTATTTTTTGGAAGAAAAATATATTCATTCATGTTACATACTATTGTATGCGTTAACTATTGTATGTTTCACAGTTGGATCTGGCATTACGAACTATTTCTAGCAGACGCTTCGCTATTGTTTCTGTTATGTGCGTATCCTCCTAAATGTGGTAGAAAGGTAAATTGTTACTTACTTAATGTAGTGCTTTATTGTTTCGAAGGCATAGTATTAATTATTTTCAGTTAATTAAAAGCAATAATTATTGCTATCAAAAATGAAAAACATTCTTTTCTCTATTTCGCGTGTGACACGGTACTGTAGCACATGGACTCGTGTGACAAAATTTAAAACCTGAAGCGGACTAGTATTTGAGCCCATAGATTGTAGCTTGTGTAATTTAATTTTTAAAGTCTTTTTGAACGGTATGAAGTAGTTTTTTGAGTAACGGTAAACTGTAAATTTTCACTAGAAACTTATCGGTAATTTTTTTATGTCTTCTTTTCAAAATTACAATTAATAAAAACATACAATTGTCAGAACATTTTTGACGAATTAATTCTTAAATTAATGGTTAAAAGTTTGCCTCTAGTTACAAACATGGCTATTCGCAAGAATCGGTTCTGTTTACTGCGTACGAATTTTCTGATTAAAAAAAAGAAATAAAAAAGATTTGTTATGCATTGACTTTATAGCTAAAATGTTAGGAATTTTTAGCTTTTCTACTGCTGCAATAATACTTACTTTGTCTTAAACAAGGTGTCACTAAATGCAGTCATAATGATTATTGTATGATGCTCATACTTAAGATTAAATGATTTGGTAATTCTAAGTTTCAAAGTTTGAAATTTACCAGCTGCATTAGGAAAAGTAAGCACTATGTCATTGTTAATTATATATCTTTAAAACCATTTAAATTCTGATACATTAGAAGTTATCAGCTGCATAGACAAAAACTGAAAAAAATTAGTATTCAATTATTGGTATGTGATTAATCATTAAACATGGAATGTAGCTTCTATAACAAATTACGCTATGCTGGAAAAAATTAATAATAAAAAATGAATTAACTAATGTTTTTGATTTACTTTTTTGTTCTTAAAATAAAAATTTAAAAGTTAACTCCTTAGCGATATATATAGTACCTAAAATATTTCAGTAGGAAAATAAACTGTCTGGTGGTCATTTTAATACATATTTCATTAGTTTATGTCAAGTTATGATATGATTATCTGGCTAATCTTTGGAATATGGTAACAGGTAGTTTGGCGACATTTTGGTAAGGCAATAAAGGTTACTAGCTAGGACTTTAGCAGTGTACATGGATAAAGTCAAGAGTGTGCGCAATGCCATTTTTGTGCAATTCTGGGATGTTTTTTTAAGTAAAAATAGGTAGACGTGTACATGGATATCGTGTATGTGCAATTCTTAAAAATGTTAAAAAGAAAAATACTTATATTTACTTGCGGTGGCACATAAAAAAATGAAATATTACCAAGTGATTTTATGAAAGAATTGTTTGTGATAGAGAACACAATCCTATTCCCACCATAATCATATTCAAACACTTTCAAGTGTTTACATGATAGGAACTCCGCTATGCCTAGATTCATGATGTGGCTGTTTCTGCAAGTTTATATTTTATTAAGGTTATTAAATTCTTAAAAGAAATATGTAGCTTCTGCTTTGTAAACTAGATTTCTTTCAATTCCCAAAGCTATATTCACTTATCTTTATTCATTAATGATTAACTGCTAAAGTAAAGAATGATGTACTGAAAGATCAGAACATCGATGTCCCATTGATTCACAAATTAGAGGTAAATAATAGCAGGTAGGATTGCCCAAATGTGACTGAAGATGTTTTGTTACCATAATACTATTACCAAGAAAATGTCAGGTAGTGCAATTCACAAGTGCCAATAATTTCAAACATTTAATTGAGAAGAAAATTAAATTTAGGATTCATTTTTAATCCTGGCTTATGCTTATTTCAAATCAGTTTCTTCCCAGCATTTTTGATAACAAAAGGTGTATCGTCATCACATTAATGAATGTAGGTGTTCCTACATATTATTAAGCTCTCTACCATTTTGTCTGTAATTGCATGCAGTGTAGTTTTTTTTTTTTTTTTTTTTTCATTTCAGTTTAAGAAGTAATTGTTTTATGGTAAATACTGCCATTCAATTCATTGTTCTAGTAGCAATCTCCTAGCAAAGTTCTTTCGTTTAGTAATTAACCTTTTGCTCATTGACCTTCTACAAATGTATTTCTCTCTTATCTTGTAGTTTTCTCTTTCAACCAATAGTATGGCAAGGTAAAAATATATTTAAAGGTGTCCCTTGGCGATAATTGGTGATTTTTGTAGCTCGCCGCTACACAAATCCAAAATAACAAGTCAAAGAATTGCACAAACTCGGTATCCATGTACAGGTTGACGTCTTTTCACTTAAAAAAAATCAGAGAATTACACAAACTTGGCATTGCACACTCTCTTGACTTTATCCATGTACACATCGACCTCTTTTCACTTGAAAAAAATCAGAGAATTGCACAAACTAGGCATTGGGCACTCCCTTGAATTTGTCCATGTCGATCTATATTCACTTAAAAAGTCAAAGGAGAAGCCAACAGAAAATATATAATCTCAATAAATCACATTTTTAATCAAACAATGAAATAACGTAAAAAAAGAAAAAAATTCATCTTAGCATTACAGGAAGGAAATATCCACTTACCTTATTTACAAATTTATGTGTCTTCTGTCAAACAAAATTCCTGAAGAGCATCCAAAAACTTCATAAAATTATCTGAACAAGAATCTGTATACTGGGGTAACCACATAAGTCACAAAAATATTCTCCGTAGTCCCGATATCGTCCGACGTTCGACCATACACAATTTCTTCCTACAAACAGGACACTTAATAATGACTAGTAAGTAAACCTTCATTTACACACCAGTGAATTAATGCTTTTTTCCCTTTCGTTCCAATTCATACAGAAACTTCAAATTATCTTACCACATTCAGCCATTTTACCAGGTAAACCACAAAATAACAACATACTTCTTATCCAAAAATCCGACACACACTTTCCAAATCTTTTCCCACATTTCCAATTGACGGCAGTCATGCAACCAATTATGTCATAATAGGGTTTCCATAGTATTCAACTACTCAGGTTACCATAAATGAAACAACAACTTGGCGATAAATGAAACAACAACTTAGCGATAATACAAGGGACACCCTTAAATCTACTCTAACCTATGGCAATTTTACATAGGTAATGATGTCAGTTGGCTGTTGTTCATGATTATGTATCAAGTTATGTTTTATATTATTTGATGGGTATAATTTCATAATAAACCATAGCACATTCGCAAAGCATGTTCCATTACTCCTGAAATTGTTCTTAACTTGAAGACTGGATATTTGTTTTTAGTCCTTTATGATGCACTCTCTTATGTTTTCTTTACTTAAATTAATTTTAGTGTGTCTCTGTTTCAACAAGTTTTTATCTTAAAAGTGTACCAAACACTTGAAAAACAGCTTAGCTTCTAGATTTGCTTAACTGAAAACTGTAGAAAAATATAATATGATAATGATCACAAATAAAAACACTTGAAGATTGTAAGAAAAATTAGTAAAACAGAAATGAATGTATATGGTAGTAAGGATCTCTGGTAAAAATATTTGGTACTATTCGGTTTCGAGGGCCGTAAAAAATCGCCAAACTATTGTTGATGCCAATGCTCCAAAAATAATTGCGGCAACCCTAATAATTGCGGCAAGAAAGGAAGTATAATAGTAAATAACTATTTAAGATTGATGTTTTAATTTAGATGAAACTGAATGGAAGCATAAGAGTAAATAACTATTTTAAATCATTATTATAAGTTATATAAAAATTGCTAAACATAACTGAATGGATGCCTGCATCGCTATTTCGCTACCGACTTAACGCTAAAGCATAATTTCATCTCGTTGGTTGTTCAAACGTAATTTTCTATAATGAATGATGCCTTTTCTTTGAAAATATTCTCGGTAAAGTGCAGAATCGCTCACTTATTTGTTCGCCGCTTTTACAAGGGTAAAAACAATTGCATTTTTGTCAGTTTTCTTTTACTTTTAAAGTGAAAATAGCTCGATGTGTACATAGATAAAGTCAAGGGTGTGCGCAGTGCCATTTTTGTGCAATTCTCGGATTTTTTTTTTTTTTTAAGTGAAAATAGGTAGATGTGCACATGGATACCGAGTATGTGCAGTTCTTAAAAACGCGTCAAGCGGTGGATGATTCTGCACTTTACCCAAAATTCTATTGCCGACTTTTCGTCATGGGCAATTCCCAAATTGTTAAATCCGTAGGATATCAAAAAAGGATTTAAAAATTAAACTAGTATTTCAATGGCGTCTTAAGAAATATAGAACTATATAAACTTACGCAATCTGAAATCAGCACGTATGCTAGATTTGGCGCGCTGTTAAATGGGCGAGTTTGCTAGATTTGGCGCTTTTGCGCGTACACTTTCGCTGCAATTTTTTTACGGCCCTCGAAACCGAATAGTACCAAATATTTTTATTTTTATGGGTGCCCCTTGGCAAAAATTGGCGGTACATGGATACTGAGTTTCTGCAATTCTTTGACATGTTATTTTGGCTTTGTGTAGCAGCGATTTTTTTGTGCAAAAAAATCGCTGCTACACAAAGACAAAATAACAAATCAAAGAAAAAATTGCCGCTACACAAAGAAAAACTAACAAGTCAAAGAATTGCACAAATTCGGTATCCACGTACGCATTGACCCATTTTCACTTAAACGAGAGAATTGCACAAACTTGGCATTGTGCATTTTCTTGACTTTATCCATGTATGCATCGACCTATTTTCACTTTAAAAAAATCGGAGAATTGCACAGCTTGGTACTGTGCACTCCCTTGATTTTGTCCGTGTACACATTCATCTATTTGCACTTAAAAAGTCAAAGAAGCTTAAAAGTCAAAGTTCTACAGTAGAGCCAAACAAAAAATACATAATCTCAATAAAGTACATTTTAAATCAAATAGTAAAATAACATAAAAATGGAAATTCATCTTATGCATCTTAGCACTACACAAAGCAAATATCCACTTACCTTATTTACAAATTGTTGAGTCCTTCAGTCTGTGGCACACAAAATTACTTAACAGCATCCAAAAACTTACTAAAATTATCTGAACTGGAATCTGTATATCAGCGTCGCCCCATAAATTTACAAAAATAAGAGTAAAAAATATCCTCCATAGTGCCGGTATCCTCCGACGTTGAACCATATGCATTTCCTTCCTATAAACAGAACACTTATAATGGCTACTAAGTAAACCTTCATTTACACACCAGTCAATGAATGCTGTTTTCCCCCTTTCGTTCCAATTCATACAGAAAACTTCAAATTTAATCTTACCACATTCAGCCAATCTACTGTCTAAACCACAAAACAAAGCTTGTACTTCCAATACACACCACAAACCCTTACAAATCTTGTTCCCGTCATTCAAAATTTATGGCAATCATGCAGCCAATTACATCATAATAGGGTTTCTATAACATTCAACTATTCAGGTTACCATAAATGAAACAATTTTGATATAATACAAGGGACATCATTCAATCAACTCTAACCAGTTCTCTTTTCTCACTACAAAAGTCGTCAAGAAAATGTGACTGGAGATAATCGATAAATTTAAAGTACCTCTGAGACGTATTTATATAAATTGTATTTCTTAACATTTTTATTTGTAAACAATTTGGAATATGAAATATTTAACTGATTAAATGTGCATTAATTATTTTAATGTTAAAAACTGTTCATAAATATTAATTTATTGTTAAATTATTTAGATGTCTAATTCTGAAAGAAGGAGTTCATTGACAAAAGTTTGTAAAAGTAAAATGAAACTAGGAAATCTCAAATTGCAGGACAGTGTAAGTAGTTTAAAATATATTTAACTAAAAATAAATAATATGCAAGTAATTTGAAAAGCATCTTTATAGATAGAAAATTTAAATTATTTTAAGAAATAATTTAAATTTTCTATCTATAAAGATGCTATATTTCTGTTGAAAGGTGTGAAACCTTATCAGTCATTATTTAGTCCAGTAAAGTAATTTTGAGAATAGTAATAATTTTAACTCTATAGTAAATAATTTTAACTCTGAATATTTATGGAAGAAACACTGGGATGCAAATATTTTTGTAATAGCACACTAGGAAGAGTACTGACACTGAAAAGGCTACACGAACAACACAGTTTTTACTGGTACCTCTTAACAGTTTTTTTTTTTAATTTTATTTTATAAACACTGCCTTATATACAATCATTTGAGGGAAAAAAAAAAAAAAAAGTGACTGTTTTGCAGAAACATTAGAATTTTTTGAAAGACAGAGAGATGAAAAATTAGCAATCACCTTTGTGCCTGGACTCGAACCACTGACCTCTGAAATACCGGCTCAGTGTGCTGACCATTACACCACGAAGGCATGCTAAGAAGGCGGGAGAAATACCTTATAGTTTTTATTTAAATTAAATACGTATAACTCTCATACACAGATAATGAAATGATTAAAAATTCAAGGTGATAGGACCAGTCAATGGCTAGCAGTGACATGTTGAAAATTCAAATAAGTAACTGTTGAACACCCTTGGTGGCGATGCATGCTTGTAAACATTGAGTTAAGGAGTGATAAAGATTCCTAATCTCATCTTGTAATACATTCTGCCTGGCATTCCTCAGTTGTTGCTCCAGCTCTGTGACATTTTGGGGTGCCTGAATTTGGTAGCCTATCATATCCCATACTTGTTCAACTGGCAAAAGTTCATCATACTGGCCAAGCTGAACAGAGTGTCAACTGCTCGGAGACAGTTCAAGTATATCCGAACCAGGGTCTAGCATTATCCTGTTGGAAAGTTGTTCCAAGATGCTGTGTCATGAAGGGTAACATTAAGGACAGCAGGATGTCATCAACATATTGTTGAGCTGTTAGAGTTGTATGCAGGATGACTAGGGTTGACCTGCTATTGTACGAGATACAATCACACCAGTGGTAGTATCTGTGTGCCTGTATAAAACAGCGCCTGATTAGGATTTCTGGCAGTGCCCCTTCCATACACTTGACCCCCAATGGTCATCTGCTCCAAGACTGAAGTGGGATTTATTGCTGAATACTATGTAATGCCAGTTAGTCAGCAGCTATGGTAATTAGCTACGACACCACTACAGATAACTCTGTCGACATTATGAGATTAAAGGCAGACATCTTAAAAGTTGCTGTGAGTGCAACCCCTCAGCCAATTGCCTTGATATGGTGAAATGTTCCGTGGTGGTATGAGAGAGGCTGTAGCATATTGAATAGCAGAGGGTGATGCCATTGGGGCAATAAAGCCTTTTGCACAGTCATCTAATCTTGCCACACATTTATGTGCCTTGATTCTGCTGATGAGTACTTTGCAGCAAACCATTGTTGCCAGTGCCTTTGCACAACTATGTCCTTATGGGGCAGGTGGCAGCATATTGTTCAGTATGACCAGCCTGCTTCATGCATCCCTACTATGCTGTTTTTATTGAGTTGTCCAGCTGTCTATAAAGTCTTTGATAATGCTGTAGCAGCATTATTGAATGCGTTATCAGAGAACTGCAGTGCTGATAGTGAGAAAAGGTAAACCATCCGTACTTGTTTTAGATGCTGTTAGTTGCACAATGGAAATGTGCACTATAGATGAGCGTGTAGAAATGTGTGAAGCTAACTCATTGGCCTTGAAAATTTAGTCATTTGCATACAAAATTTCGAGATGATCAGGTTATTTTTTAAGGATGCTTTTGTTTTTCTTCCTTTAAACAGAAGGTTGTATATGTAGTTAAGAGCAGAACTGAAGGACTTTCAAAGGAAAATTGTTAACTTGAGCATTTTTGAAACATTTTTATGTATTATTTGTCAGGTTATCATGTTGGCCAAGCTGCTGGTCCTCAGTGGCCAATTAATTGTGCAGAGAAAACCTCGATATACTCTTACACAAATAACCTAAAATATTTCAGAAGCTCCAAGATACTGAAAACACATAAATCAGTGTACAGATGTATGAAAAATGTAGATTGTTCCATCAAGACATCCTCCCAAAACGCGTTGGTACACCATCTGCGTATCGATATGAGAAGATAATGACTATTTACCTTAAGTCAGTTCTTTACTATATTCTCAACTATAATATTCCATGTTTCTTTCTCATCTGCTTTTATATTTTGCTGAATAAACAAGTGCTATCATAGTATTCACTGTGTAATGTTGATAATAAAATTTAAATAATTTGATAGCTTTGAGTTACAAAAATTTTAATTTACTAGTGGCATTATGACGGGAAAATACTAAATCATTGTTCATTATATCTTTAGGCAGCATGGACCACATTTAAACATGATTTGTTAGGCCAATGCTTCCCAAACAATGTGTCACAGCACATTGACTGGAAATATGCCGTGAAAAATTTAGCCTACTTAGCCGACAACTTGAAAGAAAGGGACTTGCTTTAGAACACTGTGTTGTGAAATTTGTAATTTATTATCATTAAATATAAGGTATCTGACTTGGAACTATCATGCTACCAGATTAGAACCATCATTTACTTCCAGTTCTGTTGCGAAAAGTCAGCTGCAGAATGTCACCAAATCATGTTTACAGCTTTAGGTACTGATGCTGTATCATATGACACTGTGAAGATTTAGTACCAAAGCTTCAAAAACAAGGACTATGACATTCAAGAAACAGAGCCCTCTGGCTGTCCTACTGATGCTGATGAGGCCCGCCTGGAAGAACTTGGGAAAGAAGATCACTATGCAACCACTCGAGAGCTTGCTATGGAGTTAGACATTATCACCATTCCATTAGTCACACTATGCATTGCATAAATTAAATTTTAAATTGCTATGCATTGTATAAGTTCAATTGCTGATTGCCGCATGAGCTGTCTCAATCAGATAAGGGCAGTTGTGTTCAGGCCTGCACTAATCTGCTCAAATATCAACACAAGGACAAAATTTTGAACTGGATCATCACTTGTGATGGAAAGTGAATTCAACAACAGAGTCCAAAAAGAGAGTTAGTCAATGCCCGGTGAGCCCTTCAGTAGTGTCACAAAGCATAATTTCACTAGCACAGATCTTGCTTTCTATCTGGTGGGATTGCTGTTGTTATAATCCACAACTAGTATCCAGGAAAAGCTAAAACTCTCAATAGTAAGGTGTACAGCGAGGTATTAGTCCAAGTTGATGCCGCTATCAAGGAAAAATGTTGAACTGAGTTCTGGTGCAAAAAGGTAATGTTCCATCAAGATAATGCAAGAATGTGTCTGCATTCACCGGCTGGACTCTGTATGCACTCGAATGAGATCTTTTGCCTCACCCTTCTACCTTTTTTCACACCTGCAGCCACATTTCGCTGGTGCTGCCTTCCATTCTGCACAGGATGTTAGAAATGAGGTTGATATGTTTTTGTGTTTGTGGGCACCAAATTTCTGGACTGAAGCCTTTGAAAAACTACCAAAGCATTGGCAGAAAATCATAAATTTGGGTATTGATTACCACCTGCACTAAAGGTACAGCTTTTCATGTTTTTTTTCTTCCCCTAACTTTATTAAGAATGTTTTTTGGCATAAAACTGTCATTACAACCAGATATATGTAAGTTTGCTTTTGGAGAATTGGAAATGTAGTAAGTATTTTAAAAAAAAGTTGAGCATAAAATAAAAATGTGACAAAAAAAATTTTTAGAACTATAAAAAAATTTGTATTTATAAAAAACAAAAAAATCAATAAATAAAAAAAAATTAAAATTTGCTTTTAAAGTAAAATACAAAAAGAAAATAGAAATAAAAATTTTGTTTGTGAAAACAGAAAAGTGAAAAAATAATTATACAAATAAATATTACTTTTGTAAAATAAATAAAATGAAAAATTATATAAAGAACTTTTTTGAAATAAAAAATGAAAAGGAAAGCTTAAACATGTGAAAATAAATATAAATTTTGTAAAAATAAAAAAGTGAATCATAAAAACTTTTTTAAAGTAAAAAAGGGGGGAAAATTCTGTGAAATAAAAAAGTGAAAAGAAATGTAAAAAATAAGTTTACTTTTGTAGAAACGAACATTAATTTGTGAAAATTAAAAGTAAAATTTACGTTTTCAAAAAGTATAAACATGGGATGAAAAAATTAATGTATTTAATTTAGTAAAAATGAGAAGGAAAAGAAAACAATATAAAAAATATGCTTGTAAAATAAAACAGAAGAATTTAAAATGTGGAAAAATCTTGCATTTGAAAGGCCAATGAATAAATTAAACCCACGAGCACAGGCACTCCATCCAGTGGACCTGTGTGATTAAACAAGCCTTTCTTAAAGCACGCTTATTTTACATATGTTGTTGAGGTTCAGTGTAGTCATGTTTAAGGTCAACCTCTTTATGTTTCCGAAGTATTTTTGCTGCGACTTTGATTCAGATCGGATTGGGTCTTTTAGACCTAGTGTACCTTCATATTACTATTATATAGTTTAATTGTGATAGTATAGAAAGCAGCAAACATGTCTCGTAATTTATCTTAGAAGGAAGAAATGTTGCAAAAGTTATTAGATGCATCAACTGGTAAAGAATGTATTGAAAAAGGAGGTTTGAAGTCATCATAAATTTCTAGTTCACATGATACTCATTCAGAAACTGATATAGATTCTGAGAAAGGAAGTGAGAATGACATAAATTGCTTTATTGAAAAGAAAGTGATCGGAAACAAAAGGAAAAAAAAAAAAAAAAAAAAAAAAGATTCAGTGTTTGCCCAGAAAAAAAGCACAGAAAAACGAAAAACACTATACCGAATGGGAAAAATATTTGTATTTGGAAGACTAAGCAAAAGTTTGTTCAATGTGCTGCTAACATTTGTTGTTGAATTTTTTTCTTTGTGTCTATAGTGTTAATAAAGAATCTATATCAATTAAAAGTATACTATTTTTTCCCTATGCTAATATATAAGATTTTCTATTCCTTTGAGAAATTTTATTTCATAAAAGCATTTGGAGAAATTAAAAATTTTAATTTGCATGTTTTCTAAGTTTGATCATAAATTTATTATTGGCATAGATGTAACACTTTTTCTGAAGATTTACAATTTTTTGTTCAAAAAACAGGAATCAAATCTTTTGGACCCAGTTCATATGCTCATGCAATTAATATGAGCACGCAGTGCGCATGCTCCCCGAGTTAAAGTAGTGATTAAAAAGCCAAAATAAATATGTGTCTATGTCAAGAAACAAACAAGCTGATTGGCGGAAATAAAAAGCATATTAGTGAAACGGTGATGTGGATGGATGAAGCAGTTTGGGCATGTTGGAACAGGCTTGCACGTGTGCAAGTCATCAGCCATGTGATATGGCGGTTTTCACTGGTGGACAGTCTAATAACAGATTTGAGGGAAAAACCATGACTTTGTGGTATCGTGTGCATTTCCCATGTCAGAGGTGGCAGGTTCGAAACCAAGCTTTTTGAATTTCACGGAAAAAGGTATTGTTATTAAAATAAGTAATGGAATTAATTTAAAATGAATAAATATTAAATAATAAGATGGTCAGTTAAAAGTGATGGCAGATTAAATGATTAAAAATAATTAAACTTAAATAGTTAAAAATTCTAAAGGAAAATTAATTAAAATTGATGTCATTCCAAACACATGGTTCAAGAGATTGTTGCCTTAAAACCAATAAATAAATAAATAAATAAATAAAACATCTTTGTCGCAAAAATAATATGAAAAAATTTTAAAAATTTTGTTAAAAAAATTTTTACATTGCCACAAAAGTTAAAACTATCATGCATGATGTAATTCAAACCGGTCTACATTGCTTCCATTTGTCACACAATTCCAAGATGGCAGCCAACAACTCCTTTTTGGTGACGTCACTTCTGCCAGTGGTACCTCTGCTTACTACTTAATTAGTAAATATGCATTCTTCATGGACTTTATAAGAAATAGACTAACCCAGTGGGCGGGGCGTGCGTCACCGACATGTCGGCAAGAAAGAGTAGGGACGGTCTGGTTTACTTTAACATTGAAACCTATGGCATTTGTATCACATAACTCTTTTTAAATATTAAATGTGATACGTTGTATAGTGATGAGATTATGAAAACCACAGTTTTTTCCAAATAGGATTTAACCTTTTGAAGACGGGATGGCCATTATAGTGGCCATAGAGTCCTCTCTTTGAAAAGACGGGGTTGTCCACTTTAGTGGCCATGTCTTTTTTCCCCTATTTTTCAGGTTGAAAAGTGGGGTGAAATGTCAATTTGACGTCCCTAGGGTTTTAACCCCTTACCCCTTATCTCTTTCAAGGTCTTTCTTTTGCGACATAGATGCACCCCTCTGAGAATCCATTAAACTACACACAAGAATCTTTGTTGCAAATAGGTGGTGATTTCTTAAAGGGGGAAAGCATTCAGTTCAAGGTTCCCCGTCCTTTGGTAGCTTTTACTGCTTCCAAAGCCCCGGCCTCAAAAGGTTAATATATCTCATTAAAGCACTTTTTACTGCATTTCGTGCATTTTTTCACGCGTAATTCTTGTACAAACATCTTTACTTTACTAAAATACTAAAAATAAAAATATGTACTTTTACTAAAAATAAAAATATGTAGAAATTCTAATTTGTGAAATGAGGCACAACCAGCTTTTTCTTGACAATTATACGCGCTGCAATAGGTAACCACTGTCAAATTTCTGCAAGTCGTCTCTATTCCTCTGGATGTGATCAAGGTGCCGACAATGCCTCAGACGAGGGAGAAAACCCGTTTGGGTTAGTCTATTTCTTATAAGGTCCATGGCATTTTTCTTATGATGTAACACATGCTGGTGATCGGGTTCAAAGGGATCTTCATTACAGGACTTCTATTAAGTTATTCTTATACATAATGGATATCATGCTGAATAAATGACTTAAATGTGTGCTACTGCCTTTTTCCATTATCAGTCATAATTTTCTCTGTACGATCACTGACTTCCAACATATGCATCTAGGAGGGTCACTATTAGAATTGTATTATACAATACAGTTTCTTTAATATAGGTAGATGCAATTTCCACAACTCTGATTCAAAAGTTACTTTGGTGTTTAAGCACTCTATTATGCATTTTATGTGTGTATAAACTGTGTCCACAAAACTCCTTAGAACATCCATTTATTTTCACAGTTGTTAGTTGTAGGTATTTACTTCCAGTTATAAAAATTTGTTGAATGATGCTAATACACTCCAAAGTTAGAGATCTGGAACCCTAGGGATTTTGGCGATTCCAGAATTTAGATCATCAGTTTAAATCTAATAAGATATGTAGGCGTGGCAGTTTGGGGCTTCACTTATTGTTTTGGGTAAGATAGGAAATTGCTAACTCTGACAACCACTCAAAAGCTGAAAATGTGATCATGGCCAACATTGTGGCTCCCCCACACACACATACATGAAAATTCTCAAGTACAATATGTCAATAGTCTGTCTTCGGCTGTCCTGGCTTTGCTTATCCAGCAGGTGTTTGAGAATGACATGCAAGAATATCAGTTAGTCTGAAGAAAAATCATATTTATGGTACACCTGCTTATTTTAAAGTATTTTCCATCCCCATTTTGTAATGGGAAAGGAAGGATTTTTTTTTGTGTGTGTGTGTGTCTTGCATGCGCTGGTGGTACGCAGGTCCATATATTAAAGTCATTCCAGGTAATGGGCACCCAGATTTTGGACTTCATACTGTATTCATATTTTAGCACTTTTAAATATGAAAAAAAGTCAGGTTAGTGAAAGATATGAAATTTAACTTTTTTTATGGTACCATTGCCCATATACTTATGTTTAGAATACATTTGTACCTATTATAAAAATTTAAACACAAAAAGTTTGACTCTTATGCAACAAAAATTGACAGATATTTGACTTTAAAATATGGGATTTTTAAAACCATATTTTAGATTTCCTTTAGGGTTCAGTTAAAGTATGAATTAGAATAAGTTGAAGCTTTTTTTTTTTTTTTTTTTTTTTTTTTTTTTTTAACTTTAATGCCAGTGGGTGACTTTTTGTGATTTACTCTGCGTAGTTTTTTTAAATGCATAATTTTTTTTTATTTATGGTATTGCAGAAAAATTCTCATGTAAGTAATTTGTTTTCATATGCTAAAAATATATTATTATCAATATTTTTCATCCAGTTTTATTACTTAAGAATCATCATCAAATAATTAAACTGGAAATATTTTTAATTTATGCAGATGTTACGAGTTGGCTACTGTACTGTTTCTACTTTTCTTGACAGGCTGTTTCCTAATCACATAATCTGTTAATATCAGAAACTTTTTTCTAAACTGGTATTTTATGTTTAATTATACACAAATTTAAATTAAATATCTCAGTCTATTTTTGTCGTATAGGAGTCAAAATATTATGGTTAAATTGTTATTCGGAGTATAAACTGTTACTGTATATATAGTTGTAGGGACCACCAGTTGATCATATAAAGTTACATTTTATAGCTTTTACAGAACTGATTTTTTAAATTTAAAAATACCCAAATATGAATATTTCAATCTTTGAAAGCAGTTTGGTGACTGGAAGTATATGTCTTTAACCAGAGATTGCAAAAATAAATGCTGAATAAGGACTTTCGTAGACACAATGTGTGTATGTATTTGTATAAATATATATTCTAGCATGAGGTTTGAAAATTGTGCAGTTTAAGATTAAGAGAATTTGCAGTGAGCATTTAATGCTGAAAGTATAAATAATTAAAATTTAAAAAGTTGAATAAATATATATTTATTTTCATCTTTTAATTTTTTTGAAATGTATGTTATGGAGCCTTGCAAATTTTTTATTTTAATTTATTGTAGTGAAATAATGCCTGATAAATTGCTTGCAGATTCAGGTCTTCCATGCTGGAGATTTTGTATGGGCTAAATTAGGTTCATTCAGTTGGTGGCCTGCAATTGTTATCAGTGCTAATGACTGTGGTCGATCATATTCTAGATCCGGACATACATGGGTTTATTGGTTTGGTGATCATTTGATTTCAGAAGTAAGAATTGTGGTATATGTGTATATTTATTTTTGTTTTAATGTTTTGTTTAATACTTAAATTTTGCTTTAAGAGAATTGCAAATTTGACACAAATGTTTCGCAATGATGGCATCACTTTATGTGTAGGAGCATAATTTGTTAAGAGATCCTGTTGTGACTTATCTTGTTTATCTAATTGCAACATCAAAATGAGTCCCTAAATTTTATCATGGCAGGAGATGTGACTTGCATTTGTCATGAGCATGTTCTTTAGACACCTTGCAATTGACAGTATGACTTTGCCCATTTCTGTCCCAATTTTGAAGGAGAATCTACTGATGGGCATGTCCTACCTCTCTTTCTCTACCACTAAACCACTGGAGAAGACTTCTGGTTTGCCATGAATTTTAAGTACCTCATGTTACAAAGACATTCTGCACTTACAAGCTCTGTCCGGCATTTGAACCCAAGTACAACAATACAGCAGCAAGTATTGCTAACCAATGTACCAGGCATAGTGACATCAAGAGATCCTAACTGTACTCACATAAAATGATTTTAATTCCAGTAATGGTTGAGGAGGTCAGAGCATGCAGTGTAGAATGTTTCTGTATTCCAAAGAAATGCGTGACATATGAACATTAAAACACACAGATTACATAGAAGTTCTGATCATGCAGCCTAAGGAACAGAGGTAATGTTATGAAGTTCATGTAATCAGTCCCTTAACTTGTTAGAATTCTATATTATTTAATAATGTACCACAAATTATAGAACAAAAACAGTTTTTTTGACTCTGAATTATGTATACAGTACAAAGTCTGAGATCCAGACTCGTTGGGAATTTGGCAATTCCGGGTATTAGATCATCAGTTTAAATCTAGTAAAATGGCACATAGAAATAATAAAATTAAAAATATGAAATAATAAAGCATTTATAATCTAAAGGTTATCAAAAATTTGGGAAAAAAAAAGGCTTAATATTTATTTGTTTACTTTATTAAACATTTCTTTCAAGTTGTTTAAGTTGCTTTGTTTTTTGTGCTAACACTTTCTCTTTAATTCTATAGACAGACATAATTTCTTGTTCATTTGCAAAGTTCCATTATTGAAGGTCCTGTAATTGCTATGTCTAGAATTCTGACTAACTTGTCAATCGAATTTTTTTCATTTTCAGTAACCTCTCTGTCACTTTCTTCACTATCGGTAGCAGTACTTTCTGGTTCTAGAACCATACTGCAGATTTCACCATCCCTTAATTGATTGATGATTGAGGAGCATTGTCATCACAATGAAAAACTTATTTTATATCATCTTCATTTATTACTGCTTCTCCACATTTCTTTACAAAATCCGTTAATTGGAAATTTTCTCCTTTGGTTTGCAATATCTGAAAACCTTTAATTCGCGGCTACAATAATAAAATTCAGCTATCATTCACTATACATATTGGGCTATGTATCATGAGATTGGTTACTAAAGACAAGTTCCACTAAATTTTATCTTGCTTCTATCATGCACGGAGACATTTACACCTGAATTGTGATAGTTTAGTTATTTATTATACTTATGTCTATTTCTTGCACATGCTTAAGGCTTATCTGAGTCCTGAATAAATAAATTCCCACATATTATACTTAAGGCTTATGAAAGGTCAGTGCTAGATATCTTACTGCCTGATGCAGTCTCTGCGGGTCCTAAATTTTGCTACCAAGTGCCTCTTTGTCTTCTCTAAATTTTGCTACCCGGTGTGGCCATACAAGCTGTGGTGCTGGTTGTGGGTTTATGTGACTAACAGTTCAGTTATTAATTCAAATAGCACTAAATATGATCTTTTGGTCTATGAGTATCATTAACAAAGTCTATCTTTAGCATATGAAAAGAAATTTTTGTTAAATCTTTCCTTGTCAACATTTCTTAGTACATTTAACTTAAATCTGTTACGATCGCCAAGTGTAATGTCAACATAAAAAGTTACTATGCACTTTTTTATTCAACTACTAATATAAAAAAATCATTTAGGCATCGCTGCATGAGTCATTACTCAAGTTGTTATGTCTTGAAAAACATTGAGTGAGGAAAGCAAAATATAGTAAATAATGATTCGCCAGTTTAGCATCAGGGATATAAAATATTAGTAGGTGTAAAATCAACAATGTTTCTATGTACTAGAATGTTTCAGTCTGAGATGTATGTCCAAGCAGATACACAGCTAGGAAGTCAAATTATTGATCTCCCAAATTTAGTGCTAAAACGATTGTTTTTTCAATAACAAGGTATTTTATGTAGTCTGAAGTGAAATTAAGAATCGTCACTCTCCACGTCTCATTTTGTGTGTGGGTGTGGGGGGGATCAAATGCACATATGTAAAGCATGCATAAAAAATTTTTTTTTTTAAGTTGGTGGGTGCTTTGAGGTCTGGATACGAGATCATTCCGGATATTGGACGTTTCGATCTCGGACTTTGTACTGTAATTATTAAAATCATTTGTTTATCTGAAAAATTTAAATTATACCTCAAGAAACATGTAAACGGACAGTAATGTCTAATCTAGATTTCTCTGGTCATTTTTAACTTTCCAAATTTGTTGTTTCATAGCTCAATTTACTCTGAACTCCAGTAGTAAATCTGGTACATATCTTATCTTCATGCAAAAATCTGACAGTGAGAGAGACTACAGAATGGCTAACCAAACTGCATTTTAAGCATAAAGCTAGTTTCATATCAAGGTTCATTATACTGAAACTATCATAAATTTACATCACTGTTGAACAAATTAAAAATGTTTACCTATATGTTTACAAAATACACTACTTTCATAGGAATATTTTCTCTTCCTTATTTTCAGGTGATGCTTTTGATACTTTGATTTTTAAGTGATATGCAACTGATATTTCTAATATAGTGCTGCAGAAAATCATTAACTGACAATAAATTAATATATTGAATTTTATTGCTTCATAAATCTTTCCACATATGATATTAATTATAGTAAATTAACAATAGGTTCCAGTGAAGAAACTGTGTGAATTCATTTCTCATTTTAGAAAACTGAGTGCTGGAAGTTCTAGCAAAAAATTTCATGCTGCATTATATGAATCTCTAGAGGTAAGATTTTCTCCAGTTTATTCTGATTAAATTACAGCTCATTAGTGTTTGTGCTCAGCTTCAGTGACTTTTATGAAATTTCGCAAGTAACTAAAAGTTATTACACATATGCAATCACAAAACTAATTTATTGCACTTCAATGAAATTATAAACAGAAGTGACTGTATTTTATAGCAAGTTAAAGAAACTATAATAGCTGAAAATTCAGTTCTGAAGCATCACAGTAATTAATGTTATACAAATGAATGAGAAAGAATGGAATATTTTTTTCAGTGACTACCAAAAACAAAAAGAATGGAATAAACACATATTGCCATTTTACTCTGTGGATAAATTCGCAAATATGCCATTAATGTAGATAAAGATGATACTACTGTGTAAGACAAATTAATTTTTCTAAATGTCTCACACTGTACTATCTCAGTGTTTTAAAAATACTTTTGTTTTCCTTGCAGATATTTGCCAAATGTTAAAGAACAGCATGTTTCTTCTAATTCTAAAACCAACGGAAAATTATTTAAATTATTTATTAAAAAATAAAATTTTAAAATTCCTTCCAACTTAAGAAATAATAGCAAAAGAACTGAAAGAGGCTGAATTTTTATGCTGAGACAGTATTTTTGAAAATGATCATCAGTTAGTGATTAACTTATAACATGAACATTATTTGATTTTACTTACTTTTCCAAATATTAATTATAAGTAGTTTTAAAATTATGTAAATAAAATCCTTCAGATAACTATAATCAGTAATCATCATCTTACCTTGCTGTAACATTATTTTATATATATTATCCATTAAAATGTGAGAAACATATTTAAATAACATCGCATTCATTGCATTCAGCATTATCTCCAATGTAAATTCATAAGCAGATATTTTCAATGCAAAAATGACCTGCATAGAGAATTCCAATGCAATGAAAGCAGAAAAATTGGGAATGTAAAAGAAAATATAAATTGCTTTTTAATTAATAATTCTTATTTTTCCATATTTTTATCCATCAGTTCTTTCTGGACATCCAATGGCAAAACAAATTATTTTATCACTTAAAATTTTAAAAATATAGAAAATATTGGTGACTGTAGCCTAGCATCCCATTGTAGCCCATAGCATGCCATTGTAACAAGGGACTAGATGAGGGCCAATAAAAGAAAGAAAACATTATGTTAAAGCTCATTTCCAGCCTCAGATTTGGGACTTGTCTACTCTATATACTTTTATCGCCATGCTTATACTCTATCTAGACCAAATTATTTCTGAAATAAAAGAGCTACTGATATACTACAGTCAAAAGTCGTTAATTCGGACATCCATAACCTGGAATGATCTATAATCTGGACCTCAAAGCTACAAACTTTCTGTGCATGTGTTGCGTTGATGCATGCGCGCAAGACCTTTACAGCTGCGAATATCCGCGTGCACAAAATACATTTACAAATGCGCGCTTAATGAATAACGAACGGTATAAGCTAAGCTAAAATTATCTAATTCAGTTAATGTTGCAGATTGCGCTGTTCCTTAATCTTCAAATTGGATTCGGCTTATTATTTTTTTGCAGAATGTTAGAGCAATTTTATAAAAGTAAGCTTGAACTTTCAATTATGTCAAATAGAATTTCTGATATATATTTACTAATATGTAAAGGATCTACAAAACGAAAGTATGTTTCGAAGTCCATTAAACAAAAAGTGGAATTGATGCAAAAAAATGGATAAAGGCATATCCTTTGTTTATCTAAACTTTATTTATCTTTAACGCCACGGCACGCAATGAATTGGAAGTTGATCTGTCAGCACTATCCTTATCTTCAGGGCAGATGTTTTTATTTTATTTGGCTTATAATTCCTTACTAAATGTAGTATTTCATCTCGATGTACTCCCTCTTTGATATGATTTAAATCAAATTCCTCGTCATTATAATTCGCTTCCGATAGCGAAGAAAACGACAGAGGTTATTGAAAATGAAAAAATTTCAATTGACAAATTAGTCGATATTCTTGACACAGCAGTTATAGGACTTGAACATTTGTACTGAAGAAGAACTTTGTAACTTTGTAACTGAAGAAGAAATTATGTCTGTTTATAGAATTAAAGAGAATGTATTATCACGTAAAAAATGAAACAACTTACATTGAAAGAAATGTTTAATAAAGTAAACAAATAAATATTAAGCTTTTTTTTTTTTTGTAAATTTTGATACCCTTTAAGATCATAACTGTTCTTTATTTCATAAATTACGGTTTCATATTTTTAATTTTATAATTTCTGCATGCCATCTTACCAGATTTAAACTGATGATCTATAATCTGGGATCGCCGAAGTTCCGACGAGTCCGGATTAACGACTTTTGACTGTATTATGCTGTGTGAATTCAGTGCATTTGTAGTTTTTTTTTTTTTTTTTTTTTTTTTTTTAGAAATATGGTTCAAGCTTTAGATGATGCTCCATTTATAAGTCAAATTCCAGAAGGTGCATAATGTGGCTAGGTGATAATAGAATTCCTCATACCTCATACATTATGTTCCCCAGTATATACCTGCAGTTTGTAGGCATACGTGCCACTCTCCATGTCTTGTTTCTGGGGGATGCAGGTAATTTAGAAATGCCCGAATTTCCACGTTATTTTAGTTCGTATGCGGGAACACTTTTTAGCAATTGTCATTAGAAAGTTTGATAATTTTCCTTGTTAGAAAATTAAAGTGATAATAATGTGTGCGTTTATATATATCTATATATATGTAGAGAGAGAGAGAGATGTGCATGTGTATGTTTGTGTCATATATTTCATGTGCTGTTTTACATGTGTGTGGGCAAATTTGCAAGTAGTTTAGACTCAGTCTGCTGAACACTTTTTTTTTTTTTAAATGTTTGACAAATTTCATCTTTTGATGCAGTTTCATTAAGATATAAGTTCCTTTTAAAATTAAATATACCCACTCCAGCCTGTAGAGAACAGACTGATGGGGACAAATTTCTATGATTGATTATCTACTGTTTTCTGAATTATCAAATTCTAAATTATAATTTGTGTCATTGTCAGTTCAAAAACAGGCTAATTCATTTACTTCTATTGCTGCACCAGCCTTCTGAGGATGATGTCACAAGGGAAATAACTACCATATATTCGTACATATAACATGCAGTTTTCATAGACAAACTAAGATGGTAAGTTACGTGTGAGCATTATACGCCAGATGGAAAATGATAGATTTAAAAATGAGCATACAAAAATAAGATTTCTATGAAAAGTTCATCAGATTCGTATTTTATTATATCTTCAGCTCATCATTCTTACTTTGATCCATAAATAACTAATCATCCTCCATTCAGTCTAAATTGTTAGGTATACTTCATGCTTTGAATAACTTGAATTATGTTGGGTTTCATTCCATGCTTTTATTCTCCACTTGTGCACTATTTCTAGACTGGCATAACATATTCGGCATCCTTTTGTAGATGTTTTTTCACCTTCTAACATCCACTATTCCACTGTCTTTTTTAATTTTCTTTGAGTAATTGATTGATACATTGGAAACCAAAGGCTGTTAATATGCCTGGAATAGCTGCTATGTTTGTATTACACTCTTTTAACAATTTCTTTGTATTACCAAGTAAATGGAAACTGAACATGCCCCAGACTTAAAGAGGCTTTAAGGCAAAAGACCACTTTTCCGAAAACCACCTAATAGGCACCTAATAGGTGGCCACTGTCACCTCCCTAGACAATTTACATCCAGGCCTTCTCCAGGGTTCAAACCTGGGCCCTTCGATATGGCTGTCACTAACTACTTTGAGTCACTAACTACTACACTATGTCACTAACTACTACACTATGAGTCACTAACTACTTTATCATCTGGGTGGCCTTTCTTTTAAAAATAATCATATATTTTAATTTTGTATCGCCCGTTAAGCAGAAAAGCAGTGTGATGAGATGAAATTTTTTGTGACCTGTTGCTTTTATGTGAACCATTTTTGTTCCTTTAACATCAATTGTTTTATTTACTATTAATCAAACATTACTGGAGTTTCATCCATATTTCCAATATGTGACAGTATTTTTCCCCCCTTCACAGATTAATAATACATACTCCTAGAAACTTATCAATTTGTTGTCCAAATCTTCCAGAAGTCTTTGCGAAACTTTTATTTCCTCTCTAGAACCAAATTATTCTGTGCCATAAATTGACTATACAACTCAGAGTTGCTTTAAAGTTCTTGCTTTCATTTGCATTCTTTTTTGCCCACTTTAATGCAAATGAACATACAATGTTTCTTGCTATAATTAATGAATTCTGCCAATTTTCTAGGACCCAGTTTGCAATACTTTCTTCTAAGATAGGCCATTTTGTCACTCCTTTATACAAAGCACTTAATTATTGCGATTTAATTTGCCTTCCTCTCACATATGGAGTTTTCAACAACACCAAATATCCTTGCTACAGCCAGATATCTATTTTTCTTTCCAAAACTCAATGAGTGCATTTGGAACCAGTGCTGTGCTTGTTTCGCTTGGCAGGAGCCATATTTACTACTAAAAGGAACACTAAATCAACTGTTTTTCAACTGAAGCAAATGCGATTCATGAAAGCCTTCAATGTTTACTTTAAAATTAAGCCTTCTGATGACTACAGAAAGAGAAAACATCTGACTCCTAATTCCGTGAATTCGTTTGGGTCGGATGTGCATTCTTGCTCCACATTATGAAGTAGTAGTAGGTTTCCTGTCACAAAACCTTAATGATTACATGCACCGTAACACACGTTAAAGATTCTTAAACACAGATGGGCATAAAAACAAACAGACAAGATAAAACCACAAAAACATAAAATACAATGATGAAAATAATGTACAATGATAGAGAATACTATGATACATGGCTTAAAATAGACAAATACACACACTTCATATTATTATCAGAAACATTACCAAATAATAATTTGGGTACACTGGTTCCCTCTCTGTTTTTAATAGATAAGTGTGTGTAATATGCAA